GGCAGAATTGGTGAGAGAACATAAGAAGGTTACAAAGTGAATATGACATCATTTGGTGCACAGTAATGTTCCATAAACGAGGCAGAGTAATTGCACTGTAAAAAGCCTTGCCTGGAAACATTCATAATACTGTGATTTAGGCTGCAATCCTACAGTCATTTATCTGGGAATAACACATACTGAATTCAGTGGGACTTATTTCTGGGTAGGCGTATGCAAGATTGTGTTGTTAGCATCTTCTTTCCTCTAATGGCCCTGCCGCTAAAGGTCTGCCAACATTGTGACTATTAATTGGCAATTTTGGACCATCTTCCATAAGCTGCTTTCCAGAGAATGCTTTTCATTCTTAATTCCACAGTGCAACATGTATATCAAAGCACACCGGCACATCTTTGTCAAAGCACATCGATAACTACAATGCTTTACTGCATTTAATTCAGTGGCCTGTAACATTATGTAGTATTTTGCTGTCCCAGCCTGAAAGCAATTCCGTGAAATGAGAAAAACAATTTCTTTTACTTATTCTCAGTGGCATCCATAGAACTGAATGGAATGCCTCATGGGTGCTTTGTACAATGGAAGAACAATTTGACATGCAATTCATATATGGGAGCAAGTACCTAATAATTAGTAAGGATCGTTTAACAGAATGGATGGATGTCTTGCTTTGATCTTTAATGTGCTTACTTCCAATGTAACAGTCTAAATTTGGTACAGAACATGATAATCTATACATGTCATTTTACTAACTCTTTACATTTACAAGGAATTTCATGTACAACAGATCATTCTGGAATGACTTAAACACTTGATTTTCCTTCCTCTATTGCTTTCAGCATTCATAAAATATATAATATGAAAGTATTTTTACCCCTATTGACATTATTACTTAGTGAATATCTAATTTTTTGGTGGCTCACAACCACCAGTATATCTGCACAGAGTTCAATGTACTAGTAAAGTATGTCCTTTCTCTATGAGATGGCAAGAATATGGTAAGGACATATCATGCACTTGATATGTATGTTTCCACCTCTTCTTGATGAAATGCAGTCTCTTGCAAAACTACTAATTTATGCAATTACTGGAAGGAGGGGGAGAGAGAGAGAGAGATGTTTTCCTTAAGATTCTTTTGTGCTGACAGTTTTGCCTAAAGCTGACAAAATAATAGTCCTGAAGGATTTTTAAATGCAGGAATTCTAAATGAATGCAGATAATTGTGCATAATATTGTTTAACATTCCTAATGGTGGCTTTAGAAAGTATCCAGCACAAGTGGGGCCTTTACAAAATCTCCTTTTATTCTATTTCATTAATAACAGTGAGGGTTCTAGCATTTCGTTAGAATATCAGTGACAGTTTCTGATGCCTTACTGTTTGAAAGAGAGCTAGTGTGGTGTAGTGTTGAACTAGAGACCTGGGTTCTAGTCTTCTCTCAGTTATGAAGCTCACTCATTGACTTAAGGTCAGTCAATCACTCCTACCCTATTTCACAGGGTTGTCGGAAAGATAACATGAAGCTGCCTTGGATTTCTCACAAAACAAAAAGAAGTGGGATATTGCAATGCAATAGTAACAACAATGATAATAATAAACCAAATGGAACACAGTTTACTTCTAGTACCTGAATAACTATATGGAATTGTAAGGATTAATACTGAATTACTACATCATGTATGGCATAATGTCAGAGACAATGTTTACTGTTTTCACATCTGTTTTCTCTGCAAACATTGCAAATGATCATTGCCCTTTCAATGCCTCATTGGCTATTTAAAAAGACAGGTGGTAAAATTGAATCTGTGACGGTCCTTTCCAAAAAATACTTGCACATTGGCCAATAAATTAGTGCTGTTTTTCAAATTGGACATTCATGCAAAAATGCCATTTATTATTATGAGAGTGTGTATTAGTTTATGAACCCATGTGGGAGTCTTCTTGGTTACTTATTTGTGCATGACCCCCTTAATCTCGACTGTGTGGCTAAGTTATAAAATTCTACAACTTCTATAGAATAAGAAAATGTACCCGAATGTTCGTGCCACTCCATTAATAATTGAAGTTGAGGACCAGGCCAGAGAGACCAAGTCCTCTTCCCAGTTAATTATTTGTTTGATTAAAGGGCCATCTTACATTTATTGTGAAATTGGAAGAAGGGTGTACTTTTTGGTAAGCAATGATTTCAAAATTAAATCGTAATGTTGAACTGTTGCAAAAATGTCAACAAATGTTTGTAAATGAATGTTGGCTTTACTGAAACAAATCTGTAGTCGCCAATATACAAAAGCTCAATCCAGGAACTGTAAGTGATTGGGACTAGATGTTAGAGACCTTTCACAGTGTTGATACATTGTTAAGTGTTACAATCAAAAGCAATAGAATGTGCTTAGATTCCATTTCAGTGCTGATTCCTTCTCTTTCCTTCCCTCTCCCCAATACCCTTATGACAGTGATGGCAAACCTTTTAGAAAAGAAGTGCCCAAACTGCAACCCAGAACCCACTGATTTATTGCCAAGTGCCAACACAGCAATAAAAACTGTAAACTGAAGTTGTAGTTTAGAAAAAACAACTCACAGCCAGCCCAAGTAAATACACACACACACACACACACACACTTGGCAGCACACTGAATGGCCATGTGAAAGCTTGGCCGAGTTGCGTCTAATGAGATGTGGCTCGTGATGTCATTGCCTGGTGCCGCTACTCTTTTCCGAGTATAAGCATGACCCCGATGTGCGCTGCTATCCAATGTTTGGCCACTGGGGTGATGCTGGGGTGACTTGGGTCGCAAGCCAAAAGAGAGGGCTCTGCATGACAGCTATGGCAAGCATGCCATAGGTTCGCCACCACTAGCCTAACCCTCCTGCCCTGGTGCACTCCCCTAACCCTAATACAGGGTGAAAGTTCCATGGAAAATAGGGCAGTTTTGAAAAAGCCTTCCTTGAATAGCTTTTTCACACAGCTCATCATATCTGCCCGTGCTAAACACATTCCAACCATCAAAATCATGGCAGGACACCTCATTTTCCTAACCATTACCCTACCCTGGCACACACCCCTAACCCTAATATAGAGCTAAAGTTCCATGGAAAATAGGGCGGTTTTGAAAAAGCCTTCCTTGAGTAGCTTTTTCTGCACAGCTCATCATTTGTACCCATTCTAAACATATTCCAATGATTGAAATCATGCCAGGACACATCATTTTCCTAACCCCAACCCTACTCTGGTGGACACCCCTAACCCTAATATAGAGCTAAAGTTCCATGGAAAATAGGGCGGTTTTGAAAAAGCCTTCCTTGAGTAGCTTTTTCTGCACAGCTCATCATTTCTGCCCATTCTAAACACATTCCAATGATCACAATCATTCCAGGGTACCTCATTTTTCTAGCCTTAATCCTACCCTGGTGCACACCCCTAACCCTAATATGGGGCTAAAATTCCACTGAAAATAGGACAATTTTGAAAAAGCCTTCATTGAGTAGCTTATTCTGCACAGCTCAACATTTCTGCCCATTCTAAACACATTCCAACCTTCAAAATCATACCCTCTTTTTTCTAACCCTAACCCAATGATGGTGAATCCTTTAGAGACCGAGTGCCCAAACTGCAATCCAAACCCACTTATATATTCCAAAGTGTCAACACGACAATAAAACCTGAAAGCTGGGGTTTTAGTTTAATAAAAACAACTTACAGCCAGTCCAAGGATATACACACTTGGCAGTTCACTGACCAGCCATGCAAACCTCGGACAAGTCGCAGCTAATGAGTCGCGGCTTGTGACATCATCACCTGGCACCACTACTCCCATGTACGCTGTTATCTGATGCTCGCTCAGCTGCTGGGCGATGCTGGGGTGACTTGGCTCACGTACCAACAGAGAGGACTCTGCGTGCCCGCTGCAGCACTCATGCCATAGGTTCGCCACCACTGCTCTATGAGAAGTAATCATCTCTTAAATGTGGATGGGGGAGGAACACACTGTTTCCATTAAGACTGATACCAGTTTTCCTGTATTGGATGTCTCTGTAGTGTGCTGTTCTGTGTTTGTGATGTGTTCAATAGACTTGTGGTAGACAATACTAGCGTATCATTTCCATTCCATTTGTTTATTCCTGAGGCGTTCATGATTTAAACTGCAATTTTATAACCACTTACTGGGGAGGAAGCTCCACTGGGGCCTACTTCCGAGAAAAATAAGTGTAGGATTGCAGTATTATTTGATTTTCTTTCCCTCCTCTTCATGGCCTAAAAACAAAAGATTAACATGAGTATATGAGCCTTACCTGCAGCAAATAGATAAGCAATAAAGAAAGAGAGGAATTAAATAGACATGAACAGATTTCTTTTAAAAAAAATCTCAGTGGTGTAACAATTTCACTTCCATAACAAATAAAAAGTATACAATATAATGGGTTGTGACCTTGTGAATACATGGAATCCTTACAGAAATAGACGTTGTGTTGGAAAATTCACCAATTTTTCTTTTCTTTGGAGCCTCCCACATTACCTCCCATGCTGCTTGGTAGCATTGAAGTGCTCTGGAGCAGACTTGAAGGGAACACTGGGTAATGTGTTGCCAAACTCCAAAAGCATTTTGTTCCATGAACAACTCTGCTCATGGAATTTTGAAAGAAATCCCCTCATGTGAAAATGACACATTGCAAACACAACACATTGAGCATTACAGCAGGCTTACATTATATTTTTCCACCTTTTAAACACAGTTTGAATTAAAGACTGAACTTGTGAGGAGCTTCTCTCTTGACTGGAGAAGCAATAGGTCTCCAGAAAAGAACAGAATCATTTAGAACTCTCTTTTTGGCTTCAGCAGTTCATGTATTATACTAGATGGCATCCAGTCTTTACTCATGTTTTTCTTATTGCCTGTGTGGCAAATTAAAATTGAGAAACAGATTAAAGGAATTAGCAGGAAAATAAAGCACTGACACGAAGTTTGCCTTCCTAAAAGGCTTTCAGTTGGTCCTACCTGGTGATGTCCTTCCACTCAGAAGGCAGTTTGTTCAAGCAGAATTTTACATGAATAGAAAGGGAGGGAGGCAATTTTCATAAATCTGTCTTCTCCCTGTGGTCTGACACCTAAGATCTGTAGCTCTTTTAAAGTCTCCTGTAACTCAGTGGGTGCAGAGGGAAGGAAGTCACTTTTTATTCACAAAAGTCTCTACTGAATCAAAGAGCCTTCTACGAATGGACAGACACAACTGGGTAGAACCCATAGATTTTTTATTTTCCAACTTTACAATTTCTTGTCACACTGCAGTCTTGCAGCAAAATGACTGCAAGAGACAGAAAGACATTCATATCTTGTTTTTCTGAGTATTTGAAATTATTCTTTTAAAATAATCTTATCTATATTTTGTAGACACCAGAAGTTTTTTAAAATACTATTTGCTATAGAGACCTGCCAGTAGACAAATGGCATTTTCCAGATAAAATTGTTATTAGCCCAGGGCAGGGTATGTGTAGTAAGATTGATATCCTGCATGTTTGTTCTATTAAAGGAATATTTAAAGAAGGTAACAATATTTCCTATGAAATAATGGAAATGCAATAAACATGTAGTTCACAGGTTTGCCTCTTCACTTGAAATTTTACATTTCAGTGATGCTGAATCCACCTCTTGATAGGAATTTATAACTGTAGTGATAGTACGTCATTACTATCCTTACATTATCCTTATTATGATTAGCAAGCAGTGGTCATGTATTGTACAGGATTTTCCAGTATATTGATTTTTGAGGCATTGCTTTCAGCAGAATTTGCATCCATGTAAATTTGCACGCAAAACTTTTAAGAGTAATTAAGAGTAATTTCAGGGACGTTTACTCCCCACTTTTATATGTATCTTTTGTCCCTGTTACCTCAGCGCTGAACACCATGCTTTAAAGAACATAGAAATGTAGAAACTGAGCGAGTCAGAAGGGGCCTCCTGGGCCACCCAGTCTGGCCCCCAGCTGCAGCCGACTTCGCTCATGACACACCTTTCATGGGCATGTCTTGCCTATCCTTGAACACCCTCACCGATGGGGCTTCAACCACCTCCCGTGGAAGCCCATTCCATACATCCTCCTATGCAGTGCACATCAGCAGTTCCTGATCCAGAAGCGATCTTTGTGTACAGATTTTTCATTCATTTGGAAGTACATTCCACTGATTACAAACACAACTCATATTTGTGTGTAGTTGTGTGTCTCAGTGATGTCTGTACTGTAGTTTGTCACACCTGTAAAAATCTTTGTCCTGCTAATCAGCTCAGGGACTGCCATGTTTTACCTGTACCTGTATCGATACAGGAGCTTCAGGCTCAACTTGAGCAGGAGGTGAAACTTCGCCAAGAGGAGCAAGAAACGTTTACAGAAAGGATCATTCAGGTAAATACATCACCTAGTGATTAGAAGAGATCTCTCTATTTTTCAGACTACCAGAGAATTTGTATTATTTGTTTTGAGAATCGGAAAGCTTCATAGATGGTTTCATTGTGGATTGACAGACTAAGGCATATTGAAACACGAGGAGAAAAATAAATGCATTTTCCTATTGGTGCTAATAAGAACTACAATTTTGGCCGTCATATTGTTTAGACAGAGAAACTCAAGTTCGCAAGGATATTATTTATTATAGATAAATGGCATGGTGTAAGGATCTATGATACTTACTCTTGATTTTCCATGTAGCCCAATTCTCTCTCTTCAACCTTGTTTTTGTTTGCTTGATTGCTTGCTTGTGGTTTTCCAAAAACATGTAAGTGGATCTACTGAAAGAAAGGGAATGTTTTACAAATAACACTGTACTTCAGGGATGTTGAACCTCAGGCCCCCAGGTCAAATCCATCCCATCAGCAGTCCCAATCTAGCTGCCTCCCACCCCACATGGCCAGCCTCCTTTTCCCAGACTACCAACTGTTTGGTGTGTGGGGAGGTACATTTTACACATTTTCTCCATTCTTAAAGGTTGAAATAGCTTCCTCAGAGCTTACTCACTGGCAGAAAGAAGTAAGTTAAAATATGCTTGCATCATGGGCTCTAACGCTTTTGCTCTTGTCCCCATCCACCTGGAATGGATGGATTTGGCCCCCAAGAGCTGGAAATTGGCCCCAAGATCTTGTCCAACATTGAATTTGATCTTTAATCTTAAAGAAGCTCAATATCCTTTACATTAAAGGTTTGATCACAGAGGATCTAGTAGTATCAAAGTTTCATCAATTCTTGAAACTGGTTAACTCGGAATTTTATCCTCTATTACATTTCTGCTCATTTACTTACATATAGCAATATTGTACATAAGTATATCGAGGTAATTTCAGCTATTTGCAAATAATGCTGAATCAAAAGGTAGGATTGATACGTAGCAAAGAAATCACACACACACACACAAAACTAAAACTTACCATACATTGCAGTTTTCTTTTTTCTTTCTTCATTCTTTCACTGGTAAGGTTTGGTCCAGATGTGAAATAATAGGTGTGATTAATAATAGATATACTAATTTTTTTTTTATGGAAGTATGAATTTTCTGATGAAGCTCTGTTAAATTGCAGTTGTGTAACTCTTCAATTGATAGCCTCAGAGCAGGTTAAAAATACTATTTGGTGCTGGAGACACGAATATATTAATGTATGCAGATACAACGTAATAGTACCTATTTTCTATGTCTGCATTGTTTCTTCTGCTGAAACTTCCAAAGATGACCCTTGAGCAAAGCCTTATTGTTTTAGGAGCACTACCACTAGAAGGCAGGTAGCTTCTTTCCTCAAGGCAGATAAAACCATTTTTTAAAAGGAAAACTATGCCCATGCAAAGTGAGCTACAATGACTGAATCTATGGATTTTCATAATAGCTAGTTGAAGATGCAATCAGTAAATGCACTTCATGTGCAGCATTAACATAGTCAGGATCACATGGAGAGGTATTAAAAGGATTTAGTTAAGAGAACACAGTGCACAGATAGGGCATAAAGATGTTTACACTGCAAAAGTTTGATCTCGCTTGTTAAATGAGCCGTGTATTTCCTTAGCAAGTTATTTGCATATGGTTAATTAAATTAAGTCTACAACCTGTGGTTTCAGGTTTCTCGAAAGTCCGATCCCTTGCCAGATTCAGTTAGCTGATGATAATTAGAATTAGCAATCTTGGTTTATCTTGCCCAACTGGCAGATAAATAAAAGCACTCCCCTTGAGAGCAATATTCTATTGATGTTGGCCATGTTCTGTTTAAAGCTGGAAGAGGACCATCTGCAGAGTCTACGGAGAAAAGATTTGGAAGTGCAAAGCTTGACTTTGCAGAACAAATTGGAGGAGAAGACTTGGAGTCAGGAGAAAAACCTGATGCATCAAGAACTCAGGCATTTCAAGCAGAACACTTTTCTCCTGTACGTCAAACTGAAATGGTTGTTGAAACACTGGCGACAAGGCAAGCATGTGGAGGATCAAGGAGAGGATGTACTCGAGGTAAATGTCTCATGTTATTTAATGGAGTGAAACTGCAAGAAAAGGTGATGCCAATATGTCTCTTGAAAAAATGCATTCTAAGACATAACCTTGCTTCAAGTTCAGATGCCAGCACATTTTTAACACTGGCATTGTGATCAGTGTTGCATTGATTACAGAGCAGGAACAATGCTGAAACGAAACTCAAACTAACTGGCACTGGCCTTTTCAAAAAAGATTTGCTGGGTGGGCTTAGCTATGCAACCATTCTAAACTTCCTGCTGTTCATCCCCAAGCCAGTCCTAAGGGTGACAGCAACTACTACGTTAATGGGGCAGCTAATTGGTGCATATTTGTTTCTGTTTTACTCTTGAGTAAGTGGAGGGGCTTGTCTGGGCTGAGACCTAATGTAAGGGTTGGAAGGTTTTACTCTTTGCTCCTCATTGTGTTTACAATCAAATTAGGTCTCCCATACCTTCCATTTTTGTTGCCAAATAACATTACATTAAACTGGATTACTATCTGGCAATAGAAATTGCAGGTGCAAGCCCCAGACCAGACCAGACCAGACCGGATTTACCGTTGGGTATGGTTCAAGACTCTGCACTGGTAGAATAAATAGTCCCTTTGGGTCTAAAACTACCACAACCAGCAGCAGCTTCAAAGGCCCTGGGAAGCAGACACAGGAGGTCATTAGAATTGAATAATTTACATGCTTCCATCTGTTAATAGTTCACATCAAGTTTGGGGTGGTCTCAACTTTTGTAACAGTACTCTGAAGAAGAAAAAAGATGCTTTATTTGCATATTAGCTGTACAGTCTCAAAGCAACATCTTGTGGAAAACAGAATTCTTTGTAATTTATTCTTTTTATCTTCCCAAAACGCTCAGTCTCATCATGAATGAATGGTTTTCTCATATAGTTGGTAAATAACTCGTGATAGCAAATCAATAGACAAAGAAAATATCACTTTTAGCCAAAATACCTTAGCAAGGAAAAAATACCCTTTCAATTAAAAAAATAAAAATCTACAGAGCTAATTTTCATGTGAGCATTTTCTGGATTTGTGTTGAAAGAAGTGCTGATACAAACAAGAGCAGGAAGACTGGGTTGTTTTTTGCATGATTTGATGGATCTGTACACTTCAAAAACTTTTTATATGCTATAAAAGTAGACCACAAATATAGTTGTCAAATCAGTGTTTGTTTGTTTATTACATTTATATATCACACACACAAAGTCCCACGCAGGACTCCTGTGTAATAACAGCTGATTGTAATGGATAGCGTGTAAATGTTTCCCATAATGAAATTGGACTTGCTCTGAATATTATCTTATCAATGGCAAAATCTTTTCTAGATTTTAAGGCATTTGGATTAATTCTAATTGAAATAGTATTAATACAACTCCTGAACAAACTGCAAGCAATTGTCCTGTTTCTGGATCCTTGCACATACTTTGTCATTGTGTATTTAGGATTTGACTGAAAGCACTGTAAGTGATGAGGCCTTCCTTAATCTTTCTTTTGAAGTAAGGAAGCATTCCTGCAGTCATAGAAATGATTAAGAGAGACCTGCACAAGCAGAGTATCACATGCTTAGTGGAACTGTGAAACCTTCCTGCAGAAATCACATGTTTGCTTTTATTCACTCGCTGTTTTAGCTGGAACACCTTGACCCCATGCCAGAATTCAGCTTTCCCTCTGAACAAAAGGGTGATGAAGAGGAGGAGGAGGAAGATGCAGTATTTGCAATGACAGATTACTCCCAACATTCCACAGTAGAAATAAGTGATCGTGGACCACCACTGCAAACTGCAGAACTGTTGCAGCATCAAAAGCAGGTACTGAGGCAATTATGCAGGTGCTTACTCTCCCGAGAATCAAATGCTTTCTGTTCATCTATCTCTAGAAATTTGCATACTTATAATAGTGATGGTTGTAATTATACAACAGTGTAAATGTGTTTTACCTATTACACTAATTTGGGGGGAAAGAATTGATGTGACCCAGCCGCCATTTTGCTTGACACTTTTAAGTGCAATATTCAGTTTCCTGCCATGGCTCCATAACCAGAAAAGAATATCCTTGGGAGATGATTTGAAGGATCTACAGGCTCATCACATCTAAGCACCTCAATAATAATAATAATAATAATAATAATAATAATAATAATAATGTGCATCCATTATTATGGAAGGCTAATTATTCATTAAGAGAGGAGTCCAACTCTGCTCTCCAACACTCAGCACTCCAACATCAGAGTGTTCTGTTCTCTCCTGTACCCCATGCTGACAGGTTGGAGTTTGAGAGAGAGCTGTGTGTTTTGTCTTTCCTTTCATCTGTGGACATAAGAAAAGCAATTCCCTCCATCTGCCAGAGTAGGTCTAAACATTCCCCAGGAATGGGGATGTGGGCAGGAGCTGAGAGGCTATTGGATCTATCAGATCCAACAGCTTCTTCCTTCCATACCCCGATATACCTGTTCCTCACCATCTGTATAAGGCTGAGTTCTAGGGTGGTAAATCAGGAGGTGTGGGCTGCGGAATCATCAGTATGCTGATGATACCCAGCTCTACCTCTCATTTTCCACCAATCCAGGTGAGGCAGTGGCTGTGCTGGACCGGTGCCTAGCAGAGGTAATGGGCTGGATGAGGGCCAATAAGCTGAAGCTCAATCCAGACAAGACGGAGTTCCTGTTGGTGGGTGGCTCGGGCCTCAGGATAGGGGACTTGGGCCTTGTCCTAAATGGGGTTGCACTCCCTCTGAGGGACAGGGTCCGCTGCTTGGGAGTGCTCCTTGACCCTGAGCTGTCTCTAGAAGCTCAGGTGACGGCGGTGGCGAGGAGAGCCTTCCTTCAACTTCGGCTGATACATCAGCTGCGTCCCTTCCTGGAGAACGACTGCCTGGTGGCAGTGACACACGCGCTGATAACTTCCCGATTAGATTTCTGTAACGTGCTCTACGTGGGGCTACCCTTGAAGACGGTCCGGATACTTCAATTGGTGCAGAATAGAGCTGCCAGGTTGCTGACGGGGACTGGGTGTTGTTCTCATATAACCCCAGTTCTCCGTCAGCTCCACTGGCCCCCGATTGAAGTCCAGGCCCAATTCAAGGTGTTGGTTATGACCTATAAAGTCCTAAACGGCTTGGGACCTGGATATCTAAAGGAACGCTTGCGCCCATATATGCCCTCCCGCCCCTTGAGATCAGCAACGGATGCCCTTCTCTGGGAACCCTCTGTGAATGATAGTAGGAGGGTGAGTACTCGGAGGAGGGCTTTCTCTGTGGTGGCACCCCGTCTATGGAATGCACTCCCCAGAGAGGTCCGCCTGGCGCTGTCATTATTTGTTTTTCGGTACCAGGCTAAGACCTTTTTATTTAAAACTTACTTTAATTGCTAAATTATTGTATTTATTAGGATTTTAAAATTAGCCAAGAATGCACCGGGGGGGGTTAATTTTTTTTTCTTTTAAATTGTTATATTGTTATTGTTTATGTATGTTTTTGTGTATTTTTTGTGAGCCGCCCCGAGGCTTTGTTGTGATGGGGGTGGCATAGAAATGTTTTAAATAAATAAATGGAGCCAAGAATCTTCCATGCTGGCCCTGCAGATTTAGAAGAGGGGCTTCACGATCAGAAAACTGTTCCAAGTTTGGCACTCTGATTTAGACATCAGAAAGGAGATTCCAATCAGAGTTAAATATTTTAATTTATTTCATGGAAGATGAGGAAAAACAATGCAAGAAAATTGCTACTGCATGAAATGATTTTTTTAATAAAGCTAATTAATGCTGGTGTCTTATATTTCCCCTGAAGTAGATCAAGAGATTTACTTATTCTGAGCTTGACCTAGATTCAGAGCTAGCATCAAGGCTGCAGGAAATAGCAATAGATATATTAATCGGCAGACTACTTTCCAAACAGCAGCTGTGACTTGGGGTGGAATCCAGCTTCTTTAAATCATTGGCAGTTTAGCCAATGGCCTTTCCTTTGTGGTCTATGCAATTAACAGTGCTTAACAAAATAGGGCAGCAACTCTATTTCGCAATTAATATATGTGTCAAATTTACACTGTTACTCATATAGGAAAAATTAGCTCTCCTTTCAATAAAATATGCCCAGACCTGTAAACAAAATATAGTCTATAAAATAGCAATAAAATCTAAAGCCTCTTTCACCCAATAGTCAAAGCTCTCTGGATGGTTTACAGCAATCCATAAAACAAGGCAATAAAATGCTAGCCTTAATGTGTTTCACAACAATATGGAATACATGGGCTCTTGTTGCTATAGAGGGCCGTCCTCCTTCTCATCTTCAGATAAATGTGTCTGCTGCAGTGGAAAATACAGGCAAGATCTAGCACGAGTGATGCTTGTTGAGAGAAGTGGATCCAAGGTCTTATTTGAATGAGAAGGAGATGGTGAAGTCTATGAAATGGCTCTTTCTATCATTTCTCAGGACTTTCCTGAAATGGTAACATGGAATTGTTAAAAGTGGAAGACAGATCTTGACTCCCTGTAAAATTCCTCGAATGTGCCAGGAGTTAACACACCTTGTATGCAATCATGTCTGATCTCTGGGGCATTTTACATATCCAAATATTGCAGGATGCATTGAGATTTTAAAATATTACTCATGGAAATCTACTGTGTGCAAAGAAGCCATTGGAAGCTTCTTTGGAGGATAGTTGCAATAATTGTTGTTCATATAGTTGAGCAAACTCCTTGCTGCAGTTGACAAGTATGTAGGTTAATTGGTTGATTTATATACCACCCATAGCTGAAGCTCTCTGGGCAGCTTACAATGAAGTAATAAAATACAATAGATAAAAACAGTACCTATTGTATTAAAATTATTTTAAAATAGCCTAAATGAACATTAAAAGACAGTAAAAACAAAAAAGACCCAGCCAAGAATAAAAGAAAGGCAACTGGCTAATTAGGCCCCTGAATGATCAGGGAATCTTTAAAGGCCTCCAGAAAGAGGGTTGTCTTAACATGGCACAGAAAAGATGCCAATTTTGGCACCAGGTGGACTGTGTACCTATTGTATTAAAATTATTTTAAAATAGCCTAAATGAACATTAAAAGACAGTAAAAACAAAAAAGACCCAGCCAAGAATAAAAGAAAGGCAACTGGCTAATTAGGCCCCTGAATGATCAGGGAATCTTTAAAGGCCTCCAGAAAGAGGGTTGTCTTAACATGGCACAGAAAAGATGCCAATTTTGGCACCAGGTGGACTGTAGCAGGACAGTTGTTCCAAAGATGAGTGACCACCATGGAAAAGGCGCTCCCCCTAGTTGCCACCCTCTGAGCCTCTCAAGGGGTTGGCACCTAGAAGAAGGCCCCAGAAGTTGAGCATATTGTCTGGATGGATGGATGGATGGATAGGAGTTGGAAGAGGCACACCAGCAGGTATTACGGTCCCAAGCTATGTAGGGCTTTAAAGGTTAAGACCAGCAGCTTAAATTGGAACCAAAAGCATATAGACAGCAATGCAGGTGGTCTCGTACATGTTCAAACTTCCAGGTCCCAGTTATTAATCTAACTGTGACATTCTGCATCAGTTGCAGCTTCTGAACTGGTTTCAAGGGCAGCCCCACATTCAGTGTGTAGCAGTAATCTGGTTTAGAGATGATCAGAGCATAGATTACTGAAACTAGACTATCCCTGTCCAGGCTGGGGTGCAGCTGGGCTACCAGCCAAAGCTGATAGAAAGCACTCCAAGCCACTGATGCCAGCTGAGCCTCAAGTGACAAAAATGGATCAAGGAGCACCCCTAAGCTATGAACTTGCTTCTTCAGGGGGAGTGCAACCCCATCTAGAACAGGTTGAACTCCTCCCTTCCAGTCAAAGGAATCATCCCACAACAGCATCTCATTCTTGTCTGGATTGAGTTTCGGTTTATTAGTCCTCATCCAGGCCATTATCATACCCAGACACCAGTTTAGCACATCCAAAACTTTACATACTGACAATGAAAAGGAGAAATAATGCTGTGTGGAACAACATACTGATGGCAAAGCACTCCAAAACTTTGAGTGACACCCCTAAGAGGTTTCATGTAGATGTTAAGTAGGATGGCGTGCAGAACAGACCCCTAAGGAACTCCATGCTGGAGAATCCATGGGACTGAACAGTATTGCCCAAGCACCACCATCCAGAGATGGCCTTCCAAGCAGGAGCAGAACCACTGCAATGCAGTGCCCCCCACTCCCACCTCAGCCACCCACCCCAGAAGAATACCACTGTCGATGGTGCCAAAAGCCACCAAGAGGTCCAGCAGTATCAACCAGGTCACACTCCCCCTACTCTCTCTCTCAGCATAGGTCATCATACAGGGAGACCAAAGCTGTTTCTGTGCCAAAACCAGGCCTGAACCCCGAATGAGATGAGATTCAACAAAAGAAATACAAATAGTGTTAACCCAAGCTGTTTGAAATGGGTTTAGTAAAGTTTTAAACTTACAAATAGGTTTTGCTTCTGCAGGCAAGAGAAAATCGCCAACTTTTACATGCCCTGAAAACCCTGTTGGATGACTTCCAGTCTGAGCTCCGGGATGACGAGCAAGAACGTCAAGGACTCCAGCAGCAATACGCTACTGACAAAGCCGCCTGGGAAGTAGAATGGACTAAGCTGAAGTGTCAACTGGAACAGGTATGGTGCTTCCCATTGTCTGAGTCACAAGGTAGAGAAGCGCTAACTGATAATTGATGAAGACGCTCTGCTCCGCTCCGCTCCACCTTATTAGATCAGTTTCAGGTTGGCACGAGAAGTCACAAGGAGTCATCAGAATTACTTTTAGGGTCTGGTGGAATCCGTTTGGGAGGAATTCTCCTAAACGCACATTGATTGATCCTCTACACTTGCCCTTTCAAGCAAATACCAAATACTAAAAAATGAGAAACTGTATAAGTCTTGAAGCAGCCAGTCAAGACAGATGTATCAGGACATGTGAATACGAGTAGGACAACTGTGAGAAATGGTTGCTTCACAGCTTTTTTCATACATACAGCAAACTACTTCTATGAAACTTCCTGAGACATTATATTGACCCCATTATACTTTTAGAGGTAAAACTATAAAGTATGTTTTAAAATTAAGTTTTCATTCTTTAAAATTCTAACGTATCCAAACTACTTGTCTAATTTAGTAGCAGCACCTAGCATTTCCATTTGTCACAAAAAGAGATCATGATGCTAAACATTTGTTTCATTTATAGCTGGAAGAGAAAAATGGAAAAGCACAGGATGAGCTTGCTCCTGATGCAAAGGCAGCTTTTAAAAGGGAGAGAGAGGAGCACAAGAAACTCCTGGCCGACAATCACCGATTAGTGATGGATTTGCAGTGGCAAATCCAACATAGTGAAAAAAACTGGAAGAGAGAGAAAGTGGAGCTTCTGGAGCGACTTGACAAAGACCGACGAGAGTGGGAGTGGCAAAAGAAGGAAATGCTGAGGAGGCTAGAACAGGTAAGTCGGTGTCTGATCAGGACATCTTGTGTCTCAGTAACTGTACTGCAATAACGGAATTTTACAGGGATTAGTTTTTTTGCACAGGGTTAACTTGGGCTCCCTGCTGCATTGTTTCTTCCAAAAGATAATTACAAAAACCCAAGGGACCTAAGCAAATGAAAACATCATTTTAAGCGTATGGGAAATTAACGAAAAGTTAAAGGCCATTTCCTCTCTCACTGCATGTCTCCCACAAATGCAGAGTCATGCTGATTCCTAATGTTACAAAGGTTTTTGCTCGTAGACCTCAAAATACACATTCACTTCCTGCTGAAAACCAAAATCTGCATTTTTTCTCGTGGTATGATTTGCTTGTGTGAGCAGTTGTGCTGTATGAGCCAAGTTCTGCTGTAGCAGTCAAACCTCAAACCATGACATCAAGCTTCCCTGATCATAGATGTTGCTACAGTAAATTATCCTGAATTCCTAGTATATGTTGTAATGCTTATATAAATGGAATACTTATCCCTGTGGTGATTCCATGGCTTGATGGAACATAAATCAATCTTGACACACTTCTAGTGCAATTACTGAGAACTCCAAAACTGTCTCACAAAACCTAAACAACTGTAATACTAATACCAGTGGTAGTTAAATGGTAAAAAGGCAAAACTATACAAGCTAATGCATTTGGGCATGTTAATGAACTATGGAGCCCAGTAGTCATTTTTGTAGAAACCTCTTTGTCATTGGGGTAGGATCAATTTGAATGATTAAACCATATGTAGATGGTCAGATTATGCCTTCTGTGAATGGATTTCATCTTCAAGAAACATTTTAATATGGACTATATGTTTTAACTTCTACACATTTTTAAATTTACAAGTCTAAAAATAATAGTATCAAGGTTTCCCCAAATTCACACACAGGCACAAATTCAATTTGTAATGAGAGCAGTATCAGCCAATTGGCAAATAAGGATTTCAAGTGACAAGACTTGCTAACTCACTTGTGCACTCGAATGGGTTGTTAGGTTGGGGAGAAGTGAAAGAGTGGGCTACAGTATATATGCTGTACAATAGAGTACTGCATATTAGTGGTTGAAACAAGGTTCAGACTTGATTATTACAGCGGAAAGGGAAAGGTATATTTTCAACAGTTATTCTGAATTTCTGTTCATACATTATTGAAATGATTAATGCTTTGACTGGAGTGTTCATAACTTTCATAAATGAATGCTTAAAAAGGTAAATGGCAGTCTTCAAAGATTAGGGTGCACAATCTCTGCTCTTCCATTTTATCCATCAGCCGTGCACCATTCCTGTTACTTAGATGTTGTTTATACTGTTTTGCTGCAGTGACACTTATAAACACAGCTGAAAAGAATGTGCTGTGTCTTCACAATCCAATAAAATCATTGCAAAGCTCTCATACTATATGTGTATATCAAAATATTGTTCGAATGTTACACATTGCTCTTAAAATTATGTAAGCTGTTAAATGCCTGAACTCCTGCCAGGAGGTTGTTTGGGATGGATGGAGGTAGAATCCCAATGTTTGTGTGTTCTTAACTTTTGTTAACCACCCAAAGAACCTCATTTATTGTGTGGTATTATAAGTAAATAAATAAGATGGAGTACTGTGGTAGGCGAACCAACTAGTCTGGATGAAGTGGTGCTATGCACAGAAAAGTCTGAAAGGCATTAGTGTCTCCTGATGACCTCAAGTGCAGCTCTCTGCCTATCTCTTTCAGTCTACAGTAGCTGGTCACTTTCAGTTGAGGTTTTCTAGGTTTGCCTTGCTATTTAATTTAGTCGTGGGCTGGCTGCTGTGATCTGGGTTACTAGAGGATGTTTCAGGGATGAGAAGTCAGGAGACCTGCCACTTGTTGATTGTAAGTAGGCTGGAGAGGAGAATGCAGGAGCAATCAGCAACAATCAGCCAAGTGGCTATGGTGCAGCAGAAGCCCAAGAGGCAAAAAAAACCCAGCATGGTTGGCCAGCTGCAGTGACACACTGCACAGCTGCTGGAGATGGAGAAAAATGGAATATGCAAGGGGAAGTGGTGGGGGGAGGGGGGAGGGAGCAGGCAATGTGGACCTCTGCTGGATGTGGCCTTGGTGGTGGTGCCTGGAATCAAAGCGGTTCCTGCTTGAAGAAGAGTGAGGATCACTGAAACAGAGAAATACAGCTAGTTTTAGAGGGAGTTGCATTCCCTGGAAGTCCAAGAACACAGTTCAGGAGTGCTTCTGGACACAAGGCTAACTAGGGAAGCTCAGAGGGTGGAGATGGCCAGGAGTAAGTTTTACCTTCTTGGGTTGGTACACCAAGTGCAACTCATTATAATTACTATTAGTATTTTATATCACACCTGTCTTCCTCTTGGAAGGAACCCAAGACTGCTTACAAGGTTCTCCTCTCCATTTTATCCTCACAACAAACCTGTGAAATACGTTAGGCTGAGAGTCTGTGACTAGCCCAAAGTCAGCCAGGAAGCTTCATGGTCTAGAATCTGGATATCCCAGGTCCCCAGTTCCTAGAAACTCTAATCACAATCCCTTCTACACCAGGAATTCCAGAAATCTGCATGTCTTTAGCTCAATAGCTTCTTAGCAATTAATCAGACTGTGTAAATAGCATGTATCTGTGAACTCTGTGTTTGATGATATATAGTATCTGCAATTAAAAACAAGATGACACATTATTTGAAACATTTCAAAGCAGAATCTAGAGGATCACAGCATAACAGATGTGTTTTCCCTAATCTTTAACGATTTTCCTTTCTGTCTTCTTTCACTGTAATATAGAAAACAGAAATATACCCAAATTTATCAAGCATAAAACAGAACATTTGGGATAACTCTAGAAATATAGCTTACACAAAGAAGTATGTGACCTACATTTTCAAGGCTTCCAAATATTCTCTTTCAAGTTCACTGCTCCAGTGGTATCTCTTGAGACACAGCATCAAACCTAATTTTGTCCTGATTGTGACTTCAAGCTTTTAGGTTTCCAAATTAATTATTCCACAGCTCATTTTCTGTTTAATTACAAAGATGAGCTTTTTGCTCTTCTGATATATTTACAGATGCATATTTATTATTATTGCCAAATCTTAGAAAAAGCCATATGGTAAAGACTGAAGTTGGGCTTTAAAGGTGACCCAGCACATATAATCCCTGCAAGTTATGCCGCATGGACATTGACCACGGTTTGACCCTACAGCAACGCACACAACAGACAGGGGAGTTCACAGCCTTAGGTAACTATGCACAGTCCACCAAGCAGAAAGAAACACAAAGCCCATTTAACATAGTTTGTCCTGCATACAGCTTGCTATATTTTCCACTTCGGACTGATGTGGCAAATCAAATATTATGACTAACAGAGGAAAGACATTCTTCCTCTTTATTTGTGAAATCTATTAAATCTATTTTTAATTTATTTAAATTGTGAAATGTAAACCCCAAATGAACAAAAAAAAAAAGAAAAATAAGATATAATAGTGCATGCATCAAGTGTACAGCATGTAAACCAATTCTTTGTGCCACTGATCTTCTATTGTTTATCTCAGAAATATGTTCATATGTTCTAGCTTTGATGCAGACAATTAATAATTTTGTATATTTATCTAGCTATTCTATTAACTAGTAAAACTCTGAACTGATGGCCTTTGGATATACTATGTCCCATAGCATGTTACTAAACTGGCAATTCAGATTCTGCCTAAATGTATTACTTATTTCTTGAATACTTATATCTCGAGATACATCTCAGATGATTAAGCTGCAAAATGATTAATGAGATCTCATAGAGTATTGATAGATGTTGAAAGTGATATATCTTTAAGGTCAATTCTATGGGGTACAGTAAATACACTTAAAATGAATGTAATACTTTACATTCCTTGTATGTTTTACATGGAATTCCTCATTTATACTCAGCAAGTATTTTCAAAATCTTACATTCTAAATGTCTAAATCAGGGGTCCTCAACCTTTTTCAACAGGGGGCCAGTTGACAGGCGGCCGTGGTGGGTGCGGCTGGTGAGGTGGGGGTGCCCGTGGGTGTGGGCCAGTGAGGGGGTGGTGGCGGGCGTGTGACAAGGCGGCGTCTTGCTCACGCGGAGCTCTCCCAGCAGGTCCAAGCCGCCTGTGAGCACACGCGCGCGGAGAAGGCAGTGGCGAGCGCATGCGTGGAGTGAGGCAGTGGTGAGCGTGCCTGCGGCCAGGCTAGCAGCAGGGGGCACGGCTGCAGGGAGTCCAAAGCCTCTGAGGCTTGCTCCCATGGGGATTGTTTTCTCCAAGCAAGCAAACCACTGCCTCCCAGCTCACGGGGCGAGGTGGGCAGTGGCGGGCACACTTTTGGGCGCGGCAGGTCCAAATGGGCATGGCGGGCCAGATCCGGCCCCCAGGCCATAGTTTGAGGACCCATGGTCTAAATTCTTAGGGGTCCCCATTCCACCATAAGTATCCTTTGAAAAGATAGTTTTCACTTAAAGATTGATGGACTTGGCTTCCTCAATTCCTTTTTATATCACAAGGCCTATTTGTTGATTCTTCAAAATTTCCCTGTTTTCTATTCAGCTTAGACATACTGCCACGCCAGTTTTGGAAACTTCCTGTTTAGGCCTTCCTAAATAAATTGCATTGAATTCTTGGCATATCAAAATAGTTAGGACGTCTATGAGAGTAAGAGAAGCGTAAGAGCTTCGTTTTACATCAATAGCAATTTGATCTATTTTCACATGGGCAAATCAGAACTTAAAGGCTGGCAAAGAGAATTTGTTTGACAGACTTGGATGGACAGGCTGATTTTTCCATAGAATTAGCTTTGCAGGTCCGAGTGATAAATTCTTGTTGGTCTTTGTTTTGCATGTTAAATATAATTGGCCAGCTACAGCTGAATGGCGACATATGCAACTGAAACATTTGTTAGAATCTAGGTTTGGTTTGGCCCTGCCACTTTTACATTTTCAGCTATGCTGGTCCACAATCTACATTTCTAAGTATCTACTATCAGTGAACAAGTATAATATACAGGGTCTTCAGCAAGAATGGAATAATGAATTGGAGCATCTTCTATTGCCCAATCAATGTAGGGCTTCATTGGCATCTATGTCAGAAGGATAACAGATCTTGGGTTATATTTAATTCAGAAAAAAATTAATGCTTTGAATATATTGAATGCCATAACATCTTTTCAAAGGGGCTTAATTAAATTATGCTGCTGGTGTAGGTGCAATATATCTAATGTATTTTTTACTCATATGTTTTGGCAGTGCTCAATGTCTGCTTTCTTTTGGGAAGAGGTAATAATTCAAATAAGTTCTCTAACATTTATGGTTATGCATGTACTTCTTAATCATCTACCTGCTTGCTGGAATTTAATGCAAGGTCAACATAAATGGATTTTCCATGCCCCTTTGACAGCTAAAAGAGGAATATTACCGCAATGGAAGGACAAATAGCTACCTGCAATAACACGGTTTAGGACAATGAAACTTTCAAAAAAGGAGTTTTTAGCTGTAATTTAGGAATGGGCAAACATATTGATGCATAATGGTCTTCATTAACAATAGTCTACCTTGTTATATATAAAATATAGGGAGGTACATAATATACTTGTATTCACTGTAATAGAGTCACTCAAATCTCATGTAAGAAAACAGTAATACCTGACTTTCATTTATGATTCATTTCTTTCTCAGCTTCAGAAAGTAAATCCACAGAGAGGAGACAACCTTCTTTGTGACTCAAAAGAAATTAGCCTTCATTCATTTTCAAATCAAGGGAACCATCATGTGTCTCATCCAATGGGGTCAAGATCCTACTCCGATTCAGATACCATGCAATTTGAAGATCGGTCACTCTCCAAACTGAAGGAAAGTGACAGATGCACTGCCACAGAGAACCTTTTTCTAGATACATTGTCCCTTAACTCTCCAGATGATTCTGATGAAATACAGCCTCAGAAATTGGAACGAGAAAGGTTTTTATCTTGTGCAAACGAGGTATGTATCTCAGCCTTTATGTTGTCAGAAATATTGTAATCAGTACGGCTGATATTCTGTGGAAGAATGTTTGCACAGAATTACTCTAGACATTATAGTACAACACACAATTTCTGTAAAACAATACTGTGGAACATTATTCTGAGCTTTGTGTTTGTCAGCTGTTATGAACTGAAATCAAATGTAAACACAGTACACAGAAATAACCAGTAACCAGATCAGATAAACATTCAAATGGTCCAAACATTCTATGCTATGCATAATGATAAAGTGAGATCATGCTTTCCCATTCTTCTCACCAGGCAGTCTGCTCTACTGGACAGCCACATGTGAGCTTAATGTTTTTATATTTGTTTATTTATTTATGTATTTACACTTCCCCACCTACTTTTCCAGGCAAAATGCTTTTGTAAAAATACTTACAATAAAAGTAAGTATAAATACAATTTAAAATATTAAAAATGCAAACAATTTCCTGAGTCTGTTCCAGATTTGTGACTCTCTTTTAGTACCGAAACATATTAGAGAAGTTGAGGAGAATCCCAATCCACGGCAAAATTGCTGGATGGGTCATCTTTGAAATTACCTGAAGACCATGGTGTAGCCCAGTTTGTGCCATTATTGGGAAGCGTAAATTGTCTTAATCCAGTTATGCCATACCAGTCCCAAGAAAGTTTTCTTCTGACAATGCTAGAGGTTGTAAGGAATCTTTCCTGTGTCCCACATTTGAAGAAAGTGCTCACACATTTAATAGCAATAATTTAATTTCACTAGCTGCCAATTATGAACGTCCAGTGAGTTAATGTAGTTCTCTCAAAAGAGAGGATTTTTATTTTTGATTTCAGCATTGCTAGTTGATTAATATCTATGAGAATACTGTGGAAAAATATCCTGACACATGTGCCTGTGATTTGTGACATGTACTGGCCAATTTTATGAACACATCTTTATAACTAAAACATATTTACAGCGCTAAGTTATAATTTCTTCATGATTTGCTCCAAATAATGGAGGGATACTTGTTGGTTATTAGTAACTATTAGATGGGGAATGAATTACAGTGTCAGCATCTTGTTCTTCCTATCACATATTCTAGCACTGATAGAGGAAACACCAAATCAGCGAGATCCTTTTACTACAGTAAGCCCACAGTGTAAGCTTAATGGTTACAGTCTTCAGGAATTACACATCAAATAGTTCCACTTCAAAGTAGGACACTGGGACATCTCTTAGGGACTAAATTCCTTGACATTCCACATCAAAGTAAGGGACCACAGCCCTTAATTAAATTGCAGCTGCTCCTGCAATGAGGGTAGGGACTGTAGAACCAGATCTGACTTACTTAGATCTACAGATCTAGATACTCCTACAGAGATCTGAGCCAGCTTTGCCATTGAGTCGGGAACTCTGGTTGCTGTGAGCCTTGGGATCTGAGGAACCTGTAGCTGTGCCTCAGGCAGGATAATGATCTGAACTCTTTCGCTCTTGAAATAAGAAAAAGGAATCTGGCGAAGTGCCTGAACTATCCTGCACAGCCCCATGGAGATCTGGGCCAACCCTGGCTCTTGGGTCAGAACCTCTGAATACTCCGAGTCCAGGCCTTTTGATAGCAATGGTCCTGAACAGTATCAGAATGGAGTTCAGAGCAGTTCCTCACAAGTCAAGAGTCTAATATCGAAAGCTGCCTGCTCCAGAATCTCCATACCACATGAATCCAGGCACAGAACTCTCAGGGGTCAAAGAGAAGCCCCTTCCTGGGCCTTGATGTCGATGACACATATCCATAGCCCACAATCATGCACAGTCTGTACAGCAGTCCTTTTCAAGGCAGGCTCTTACAAGTCCAAAGAGAAGACAATCCATATTCAGCAAACTCCATGCATAGAGTTCCACATTAGGTTCAAATCTGCTAAAACAATAATGCAGACAGGGAAGATGAGATAGTCCTAATGAAGGCCTTGGAGGCTATCCACTGACTTTAAAAGCAAAAGTGTAGCTTTTCAACCAAACCACTAATTGACAGGGAGCTAGCCCATTCACAAGGCCCTTGCTCCACCGGTGAAGCTTCAACCCAAGCAACACCTCTGCAATCCATACCTTCCCACACCTGTTAGGTTCCCAGAGAAGGCTAACAGGTTTCATCTCTGCAGGATCAAAGTTGCAGTTGGGTCAGGGGAGTAATGTGACTGCCACTTGCTTTCACCTGAAAATGCTGATGCAAATCAACTCTCTCTCCACAGATGGACCAGGGTCCAAACGTTCCAGTCTGCTGCTGGTCAGATTCTGGCTATGCACTAGAAGGTCCACTCTGTTTCTGACCCTAACCCCCAGTATATAGATGCATTTGATTAAAGAATAAATTAATTATCCAGAAGGGGACCGGGGGTCAGACGTGTTCTTCAAATGTGTAAAACTTTGAGGGGTTACATAAATGTAATACCAACATGTCCCTCTGGCACAAAAAATGGATATGTATGCAAGCTCAAAATTAACTGTTAATTTTACTTGCAGGACGAAGAAATGCACAAGGGAAATCTTCAAAGGTGAGTAAAGGCGAATAGGGGAATAAAACAGAAAATGAAGGGTATGTTAACACAATTACTCTAAATATGTTTCTATAACCTTGAAAGTAGTTCTCCTCTTAGAATCTTGCCATGACATCGGGCTGATTCTCTGGTTTGCTTAACTCTGGCGCACAACCTCACGCAGCCCTCCGCCACTTTATGTGTGCCCAGTGAATTTGCTGCTGCCTTCTAAAGAATGACTTCAACAGTGTGAAAATTGTCAACACTGAAACTATGACAACAACTAACGATTCCCCCATCATAAACAGCAACATCTTTCACATAATTTGCAATTATATTGGTGTTGCTTACATTCTTTTTATTCAATTAATTTAATATTATGCGTTTTCTTCAGGGCAATGTCAGTTTCCTCTATGTCAGAGTTCAAGCGCTTGATGGATATTTCACCTTTTCTTCCTGAAAAGACTCTACCTTCCTCCAGTAGCAAGGAGGATATAACACCTCCATTGTCACCTGATGATCTGAAATATATTGAAGAATTCAACAAAAATTGGGATTATAGCACTAATCGAAACCATGGTGGAGCCATTGAAAGGTCTGCCGATACATGGGCAGAGAGGACAGAGATTGGGAAGGTGGGGAATAATTCTGTTCCAGATCCATTCCAGCCATCTTCATGGTACCTCACCACCAGTGTGACTATGACAACCAACAGCATAACTAGCCCTGACCACTGCCAGAAACAGCCACTGAGGAGTCATCTTACAGAAAAAATGGGGGTTCGGGCCTTTCATAGTCCGCCAGTTGTCCGCAGGTTTGATAACTCCATGGTAACAGGCAATGAAGGGAAAAGTCAGTCGGAGCCAGACTTTTTGTTTCCTGTGACCAAATCTAAGGGAAATGTGGGTGAGACAAGAGGTGCTTCTTCAGAAGTGTTTGGACGATGGTCTTGTGACCTCTCCAGACATCACAGTGATTTCCTGGAAACTAGTCTTCATCCCATTGAGCATCCGATTTGCACTACTGTGGGGTTTGCTTCATCCTTGCACAGCCTGGAGATGTCCAAAAACATGAGTGATGACATGAAGGAGGTAGCTTATTCCGTCAGAAATGCAATACGTCCAAACTCAACAGAACTGCAGTTCAAAGACACAGCTTGTCAGACTAATGGAGTGAGAACTATGGGGACACAGACCACTCAAACTATCAGTGTGGGCCTGCAAACAGAAACTTTGCGTAGTATCACCAGCAGTCCACACAAGTGTCTGACACCAAAGGGAGTTTCTACACCTGTGGCATCACCATCAAGAAGCTTGAGAAGTAGGCAGATGTCTCCTGCTATTGAAAAGGTCCAAGCCAAATTTGAACGCACATGTTGCTCTCCCAAGTATGGCTCCCCAAAATTACAGAAGAAAGTCTTTTCCAAAACTGATCAGCCAAATAGCCGGACATTACCAAGCACACCTCAAAAAGGGTTCAGTGAATCTGCCTGGGCCAGATCCACCACTACGAGGGAGAGTCCAGTTCATACCACTATCAACGATGGCCTCTCCAGTTTATTTAACATCATCGACCATACCCCTGTGGTGCATGACTCCCTCCAAAAATGCTCCAGGTCCAGCAGCCGATCCAGGTCGGCAGAACCCAGGTCAGAACTGGGGCCTATGCAAGACATGTGCACAAATATCCGTGGTAGGTCACCTAGTCCTCTTCGTTTTGGCGTGGAGCTACAAAAGGATGAAGAAGCTGAGATAACTAGTATTAGGCAGGACTTATCTGCTCCTCCAGGATACACCCTTACAGAAAATGCTGCCAGAATCCTGAACAAGAAACTTATGGAGCATGCCTTAAAGGAGGAAAAAAGGCTTGCTTCACACAGCCCTCCCACTCTTAGCAACGAGAACAGCACAGGAGAAATTAGCAAAGCTGAACCAGGGTCTATTGAGGTAATGAGTTTTCTGCATATATCATAATTTTTTAAAATTATTATGTTGATGAAACCTAACCAAAATATGTGTATAAATTCCTTTGAATCAAGATGAAATTGATTGCATAATATACGTTTGTTAAAGGCTGTATGTCCTGGAAAATCGCTCCCCACCCACTTACACAATCTTTGCATTTTTATATGAAATAAACAATAAAGGGATACACTAGAGTCCTAAAATTAATGTATGATGATGGTGGATTAAAGTGAGTGAAATCTGCTTCAGTTATATATGGTTATCTTTAAATAGGATTCTATGATTTTAATTTTTAGCATCTCTTAGTGCAGCCTATAACACATTTTCTCAGAAGTTAGCCTCGCTGAGTCAGTAGAACTTACTATGTGCTTAGTATGCTTGAGATAAACGTAATTATACAAAATAGAACTGCTACCCGGCCTAGACACTTAAGCATCATCTGTGCAAAATTTCTTACAAACCAACCAACTTTCAGCCTCCAGTCCAGTCCTACTGTCTGCAAGAAGTAGCTGCCTCACCCAGTTTAGGATCCTCCAGTTATTTTGGACTACAACTCCCAAAACCCCAGTCAGCATGGGTAGTGGTCATGAATGCTGGAGATTGCAGTCCAAAACATGTTAAGGGCACCCGGCTGGGGAAGGCTGCTCTTACACAGTTTAAAGAGAACTGAGTGTGGAATTGCAGAAATGTACCACAGCTGAAAAGAGGTCTGTATTCTTTGATTGGTTGGCACTTGTTAAAGGGTTATAGTGCTGCATTCAGACTGGGCTGTGCTAAGTGTACACGGTAACAAGAAAGCACTGCTTTGAATAATGTAAAGCAACCTGGTACCTTCCAGATGTTTTGGAATACCACTGCCAGGATTTCCTGATCATTGACCATGCTGGCTGGGGTTAATGAGAATTGATGCCCAGGAGATCCAGGTGGCACCAGGCTGGGGAAGACTTATTTAGAGGATTTTGGAGAGAGGAAATGCAACTGATTTGTGCTTCCACTTCCCACAAAGATGAACCCTACACAGAATAAGGACATTTCTCACCAACTGAGGTTTGAGAGTGCGTGGGGAAATAAATAACTCATGCTTCTCTTTGAACATGCCAAGTGTTTCATAGAAACATAGAAACAGAGTAAGTCAGAAGGGGTCTCCCGGGCCATCTAGTCTGACCTCCGGCTCCAGCCGGCTCCACTCATGACATGCCCACCATGCACATGGCCAGCCTATCTTTGAACAGCCTCACCGATGGGGCCTCACCCACCTCTCGTGGAAGGCCATTCCATACCCTCGGGGTCCTAACTGTCAGGAAGTGCTTCCTGGCATCTAAATGGAACCTTGGTTCCCCGAGCTTTGCTCTGTTGGAGCTTGTCCTGCCTTCCTCTGCAGGGGAGAACAGGTCTCTACCCATCTCCATGTGACATCCTCTCACATACCTGTATGTCGCCACATATCCCTTCTGAGTCTCCTCTTCTCCAGGCTGAAGAGACCCATTTCCCTCAGTCTCACCTCATACAGCATCCCCTGCAAACCAGCCACCAACCTTGTGGCCCTATGCTGCACTGACTCTAACCTGGCAATATCCTTACTGTATGAGGGGCCCAAAACTGAGCACAATACTCCAGTTGTGGATGCACCAGAGTCGTATAGAGTGATGGTAATACCTCTCTCGATCTAGAAGCCACACTTCTGGCTATGCAACCAAGGGTGGCGTTCACCCTGTTGACCTCCACATCACACTGCTGACTCATGTTTAGCCTGCAGTCAACCAGCACCCCGAGGTCCCTTTCACAAGTGCTGCTCTCCAGCCACTTGTCCCCTAACCTGTACTTATGACACCTATTCCTATGCCCCAAGTGCAAGACCTTGCACTTATCCATGTTGAACACCATCCTGTTGTCTCCTGCCCACTTCCATAGTCTGTCCAGATCCTTTTGGATCCGGAGTACCTGCTCCTCAGTTGTGGCCACTGCCCCAGTTTTAGTGTTGTTTGCGAATTTGATCAGCAGACTGTTCACCCCTTCTTCCATGTCATTTATGAAAAGATTAAACAGGATCAGAGCCCTGGGGGACCCCGCTTGTCACTGGCCGCCATCCTGATGATTTCACAAAGTAACATGAGATAGTCAATTTATTTGATGAATTAGAAAATGGTTTTTTAAAGGGTGTTTCTAGACAGGGTTATATTGAGCAGTTGCCCTGCCTGATTTGCAGAATTTTACTGAGGACCCAGTTGTCCTTATCTTCCATATGGGACTTCCCCACCGGTGCTTGCTGACAGTTCCTTCCACCTTTTTTCTGGCCACAATCGATCTGTTAAGGAGGGAAAGACAGAATGGCTGCACAAAGTCTTTTGACCAGTCGCACCTGGAGATATCCATCTGGAAGCACCCTTAAAATAAGCAAGTTCAAGAAGAATACTTAGAGGAGTGTTCTTCCTGGCATGCTAAGGTGCAGTAGTCAGAGCAGATTCTAGGCCATTAAAAGGTGTGGAGATCAAAAGGAGAAAGCAGTGACACTGTACTGCATTTGACGATCAATGTGCTAGCAGTTTGAATTTCACAGGCAAACTCATGTTGTCAGGAGTGCTAAGGAGTATATTCATTTAAATGCATGGGTATCTCCTAGACCCATTGCTTGTAAAATTCACATCCTGAATGGAGGGAAGTATCAGCAGGGCTTCTTTGGCCTTAAAAAATGAAATGGCTTAGGGAAGAACACCTGGTACATAATGCATTCTAGTGCTATTTATTTTCTACAATATCTTGGAAACCTTTACTCCATTACTGAATTGCTTTTTGGGGCAGCTCTATATTTAATATTTTCTTGAAAAATACAAATCCAACATCAGATGTGCAAAGGTTGTACCTGGTTGAAAGCTTAGAGGCATGAGGGGCATGTGATTTTTTTCCCATGGCAGTGTATGTGGTTGTACAATGTTTCCCCTGTTTGCAAATTATTCATCCAGTGTTGTGTGTGTAAAGTTGGTTTAGTTTGGATTCACCTGCCAATAGCTCTATTGGTGCTGTGGATGGGAGTAGGCTTCAAACCAGATTCAAATTAAAGTTTAGTCTTGAACTCACTAGGAAGCATTTCATGTTAATTCACATTACGTCTGAGGAAGGGTAAAAAATTTACATTCTTGCTTTTGAGATAGGCAGTGTTACTGTAATTCTTTAAATGGATCCTTGTTATAACTTCCATTTAAAATTAGTTCACTGTTCTTGTAGTGACAGTAAGTTTCAAAATGGGTAACTTTTTAAAAATACAGATTTAACGCCTTTAATACAAAGTTAGGATTCTGTTCAGAAGCAGTCTTATAATAGCAAACAGCTTACCCGAGCATGCTCCGAATTGTCATAAATAAGGAAAATAAGCACTGACAGTCATGTAATTAATATGAGATGCTTGCACATGTGGGTTTTACTATGCAGTCACACTGCAGCATTAGCAGAATTTAATGGGCGATCCAGACAGTACTGTCATCCATTTATATCCCTCCTGTGTGTTCCCACAACTTCTGTCTTTTTTTTCTTACCAGGAAAAAAATCTATTAAGGAATATAAAAGGCAGATTAGCCGCACAATGCCTTTTACACAAGGACCCCTCTATCTGAAAGTACTCATAGGAATTCTTATATCATCTTTATAAGTAGATCTTTTTGAGTTGGCAGCCACTTCACATCAGCTGACTTACAGCTGATATGAAATGCATATCTGCTCAGAAGGAAGACCCACTGAGTTCAGTGTGCATTACTCCCAGGCATGTACAGTTTGTATCGGGTCACAGGCTTGGATACCTGTTGGAAGTTCTCTGGAGGTCCAAAATTACTCTGGGCTGCCTTGAGCAAGACACTCTTTCAGCCTTATTTTTAAGGCTGTTTGACTTAAAGAGAAAATTGCCTGGTTGCAGGAATTGCATTAACTGAAATGACATAGAACTCGCAGTGCAAACCCACACGTGTCTTCTCAAAACTAAGCCCCATTGAGTTCAGTAGGTACCAAATACCAAGCCCTAGGAGCACAATGCTTCACAAATGTGTGCACTTCTAAGAGGGACAATAAACTTTGAAAAGGGGGAACCTGTAAAATGGGGTACATGATAATGGTTTATGGAATGATCCTTTATAGCAAATACGCTGAGGAAGTGGCTTTGCTATGGCTTCCATTCAGATTACTTTGTTCAACATTTTTGCTTGAATTTGGTGGCTGTGCTGCACCCGAAAGGGCATGCTGTGCAAAGGGAAGCATGTCGGTCATGCCGCCTTCTTGACTCTGGCAGTGGGAATTCCTTCACTTACCTCTTCCTGGTCAGCAGTCGCATCATACTAAAGGAAGGTTCTGTTCCTGCTCTCCTGGCATCACGCCTTACTAATGCTGGATACCTGTGCAGAATGCCAGCCATAAGCTTTTTGCTGTATCATTCATGCTTCTTACTATTGTTTTCTTCAAGTGATCCAGTTAAAATGCCTCATGTGAGATTGCTAAAATGTTAACTTCTTGTGCGTATACGCTTGTATATTTGCATTATGTAGATCTGCATTAAATATATAACAACGACCATTCCACAAGCTGCAATTTGAAGAATGTCAGATCTGTTATTTTACTAAATTTATCTCTGAGTAGAATGTCACAAACACTAAATCCCCTCTGTCTGGTCAGACAGGAAAAGCAACCATCCTCTACTCTTGAGCTGAATTTTACATAACTCAGCAATCACAATATTTTTCCAAAAGGCTGAGAAACAGACGCTCTGCTGAAAGAAGTCCAGCAAGCCACCTTCTTTGTCAAGAACCCTGGCTCCTCTGGGACTCTCATCTTCATACTCTGTTCCTTGTAAAATAGTTCTGGCTGCAGATTGTATTCTCCATCAGGGCTGGCTTCAATGGTAGCCAGTTTCCCATGGGCCAGGCCCCGTGAACTTGCTCCTCCCCTTCGCCATGGCAAACTGCATTGCCCTGACCCATTCCGCAGTAGCATTGAGAAGGAGGAGCTGTAGATACCACCTGCCTACTTCCTCATTGGCTGCCTTCCTGTCAAGCAAGCAAGTAGTGGCAATGATGACAAAAAGGATAAGGAGCAAAAGTGGTTGGTGAGTGACAGTGGAGGGAAAAGGTCGGCTCACTGAGGGAAGGGAACCACTGAAGGCGTCTGACCCAAGAACCTGAAACTGACGCTGCTCGCCACTGCTTCCAGTGTCCGCAGGAATACCGGAACAGCTGGCATTAGGATGCCTTCTTTGCTTTATCTTCCCAAGAGGGAAAGCTAAACTAGAAAATTTACATCTACAAGTTGCTATTTACCACTCACGCTTTTCTATTCTAATACCATTCCTGGTCTTTAAAATATATTAATATAAATTGCTCACCTGAACACAGTTATTCCAGCTTTACTATAGATTTGGAATGGATGGCATTCATTCTTCTCAATTAAATATATTCTTAAGGCATTGCCCTCATATAAAACTGTACTAAATTTTCTCATTATGATATTAGCAGTGTATTGCCTCATTCTCTAATAAAGGCTGAATACAATAAATGGTAGTAAATGAAATCTGGAGAGCTCTTTGAAGCTGATTACCAATCTCTGGTTTAAATATTCTTTCCAACTACTTCCTTTCTTTTTTTCCCTTTGTCTGTCTGTGTCCAGAACCAAACTGTCTTACTAACTGCCCCCTGGGGACTCTAACCCTGCCTGCCTCACTGCTGTAAGTCTTTTTTACCTTTGTTTCCAGAAACCTTTACTTTAAAAACAAACAAAGAAACTTTTACTTGGTCAAGAAGTTTGAACTGAAGAAATGGCAGCATCCTTGTAATTGGCGTGAACTGACAATGGATTCTAAATATACCTGGAAGTATCTGTGTCCTATATAGCTGTTATGAATTTATTTCCCACAGAATATGATTTCTATGGTCACTCTCAAATCATTTCAGCCAACATGTTTGTTCTTCAACTTGCTTCATCACACAGAACTCAGCGGCTTCAAACTGGTTTGAGGGAATATTGCTAAGTTTAGAACTCTGCCAACAACGGCTGTAATGCAATTTTAAAATGCTTTTTTCTTTCACTCTTTTGTCATTCTACATTTCCCATAATTTCTTGTACCCACTAATATATTTTTCAGTTTCCATATCAGCAGGACAGAATTAGCTACCCTTGTTCACCTGTTCGCATTAAGATTATGCTTTCACTGTAGCAGCACAATTTATTGTTGTAGCAACTTAAGCTTAATCACAGGTTCAGGTCAGAAAAAGCTCTTGAGGTCAAGAGACTAAAAGAAAAATGGCAGAAATCAGTATTTCTATATGCTCAGTTTTTACAGGGCTAAGGATGCATTCCAAATTTCATGTTGTTTATGAGATTTATTTTTTATTTTATTTATTAAAACATTTTTATGCCGCCCCATTCGCCGAAGCCTCGGGGCGGCTTACAACAATAAATTAATATAAACATTAAAAATCCAAAAAATACAATATAAAATAAGCCGCCCTGGCCAGATAAAATCAGTTAATACTAACAGTTAAAATACCGCTTAAATAAAAAGGTTTTCGCCTGGCGCCAAAAAGCAAATAACGACGGCGCCAGGCGGACCTCTCTGGGGAGCGTGTTCCATAAGTTGGGCGCCACCGCAGAGAAAGCCCTCCTCCGAGTAGCCACCCTCCTAATTTCCTTCCTGGAGGGTTCCCGGAGAAGGGCCTCTCCCGCTGATCTCAAGGGGCGGCTGGGCATATATGGACGTAAGCGCTCCTTCAGGTAACCAGATGGCTGCTGAGTTGCTGCAAAAGTTTTCACTGCATGCTGCTTCGCTATTTTCATTGCAAATGGAAAACCAGCAAGGGACATAAGAAAGCACAACAGAATGAAATTGTTATGTCATTGTCTGAATATGCACAATATGCACTGCTGGGGAAGTGCACATCATAGCCAAATGTTCGTCTCGCTGTAGGATCAGTCACAGAGAAAAGCAATTCTATGTATTTGTAGCAAAATCCAGCTCTGCACAGCACAGATTGGGTGGGAGCAATGATGCCAGGAGCATCCCAGCCCAGAGGACAGAGGGATTTTTTCATATTATAAAAGCAATTCAACCTAATTACCAAACATAAATAATTTTTTAAAGGGCCTTACAGTTCTAAGCATGTTTACTTACAGTTAATTCTTAGGGAGTGGAACAAGACTTATGCCCTAGTGAGCCTAGTGAAGACTGCAGCCTAAAATACAGCACTTTAAAATCAAAAAGCAGATATATAGCATGCCTGAAGTATGCAGAACAAGAGGAACTACTGAGTCAGTGTGCAGCACCGGCTGGTATGTCTGTCAAATGCAATGTAAGCATGAGCAACTGGGCTCTCCACGTGGGAGGCAAAACTACAACAAAACCCTGTTTTGTTTATGTACAAAGAAGCATTTGATTGTCTTGTCATGATTCAGGCAACCCCCTCAGTGTTTTAGGCCCCTGGTGTAGAAGAAACAGATGAAAATTCTGTATCTTGTGTTGTTCATATTGTTTAGATGAAGAAAAAAGCAATTCAGTTTTAATCCATCTAAAATGATTCCATACAATAGGAAATAATTTTTTGTTTTTTTCTTCCAAAAAGAATGATTTATCTCCTTGTAAAGCATAGTACTTTCTCCCCATTCCACCTGTTTGTGAGAAATTTAGTCTTTAAGTAAAATAAATATTTTGACACCCAACAGACATGATATGTGGTGGAAGAATAATGGTGGATCCATGTGCAGTTCAAGTTGCATATAGAAGATACACTTGCTGCACATATGTGATTCTCATTTAACATTTTAAAGTGTAATATAGGCAGGAAACACACCAAAGAGCCACAGCCAACAGTGTCTCCCTGATGTGTGTTCCCATCCGTATCCTTCCCCCTGCTTCATGCATAATTTCCCCCAGGAAACACATGTTGTTGTTGCTTATATGCCACCTACTAGCTGAGGCTATGCATATTGTTTTCCCTTCCAGCCTTCTGCAAAACATGAGCTTATCTGTGCATTAAAGGACAACGTAAACTGTGCTGTGAGGAATTGCATGCCTGCTACATCTTGCAATGCTGTGCATACCTGCAGACCTCAGTGAATTGCAGCATCCAGTTTATGGTATCTGCTGGAAAAGATACCATAAGCAGCAGTTTGAGAGCTGATCATGTGCATCAAAAAGTTATCACCCAGAATAAAGGGTGAATATTAGACCCTGAATAAAATTATAATCTAATTGAAAGCACAATATAATTGAGAGTGCAGAAAGAATGTGGGACTAATTCTGCTTTTATGTAAAAACTGGAATAGAATGTTGGTTAAATAGGAGAAAGATCACTGCAAAATTAAATAAATATAAGCTATTAGGATTACCCTCATTAAATCTAGCAAGAATAAGCCAGGGTAACCAAAACTGCATCAACTCCCCTTTCTGTTGAAGTCTGGGAAAACACTATTAGTCCATCTTTCCATATGGCAGCTGCCTCAAATTTCTTTTCCTTAAGTTTCCACACAGTGACACGTCACATGTTAGCATCCATTTATTTGGTGTTTCTTAGAAATTTTCCTGTACAAGTGTGCTTTTATAATCATAGGAGTCATCCTGCCATTTTATTGACCGTGTTCCTGATCTAAAATCAGCAAAGACCAATTTAACATGATCTTAAAGGGCAATGTCTTATCTTGATTGGTATAGAAGTCAAGAGATTTAGTCCTTGTTTGAGGCCTGAGTTTTCAATACATGTTCGTCTTTAGAAAATGTAGAACACATATTACATGTGCACACTCTTACTATTGCATTTTATAGCAACCTTATCCACAGAGTGTTATGTTGGGCCCTGCCTCTTTAGGATGAAGACAATACCAAGAATGAAACCTCTCTCTTCATTCCACATCATGCATCATTTAGTCATCCTCTCTCTCTCTCTCTCTCTCTCTCTCTCTCTCTCTCTCTCTCTCTCCGCCTCACTCTGTTACTGGCTGCATCTGCTATCGTATGTGCAATTACCTGAGAGTATTGTGCTGAATTCAGTAGGACTTAGTTCTCAATAAATAAAGTCAAGATTGTTGACCAGAACAACTCAGTATCCATACTAGTTTCAGTTTCTTTCGGTCTTTCACCTTGTTTGCTCTATACTTACAGCATGCATATGGCATCACTCCACCTGGCTTTTGACTGTGACTATTATCACTCCATAACTCTTCCTATGTGGCATATAACTCCCAGCTTTGTATTCTGCTGGTGTACCTTTTCACCTGATTTTAATACAGCTTGCACTTTCTCACCTGTATAGGGAGCCTAATGGCTAGTGGGGCAGGATAAACATCCAATAAATACATACATAAATAAAAATAAAATAAATATTGATCAAACCCTCCCTGTGTACATTTCTCGTTTGTGTGTTGACAACCTTAGCACCTTTTTGTTTTCAGGTTTTCTTAGGGTACAGCATTAGAGGATGCTGTCCTCAGATTTTGGCAACTTTACACCACCCTGCTAGAGCACAAGCTGTGTGCTGTACTGCCTTTCTGTGTGAATATCTATAATTATGAGCAGTCATGGTCAGGCGTGAAATATAAATAACTTGCCAGTGTGAAACATTATAGTTAGAGACTGCCTCCTCCCCAAGGGCAAGCAGGACTTCCTGTTATGCCAGTTCAAATTGATATCGAACTATTAGCCCAGACAGATAGTTTTCCGGTCTTCAGCATTTCCTCTTCATTACACATGAGTTAAAGTCTCATTTGGGCTGCACCCAACTCAGCATTGTCATGAAGCAAACAGAAGCAGTGCCCTCAACAGACGGATGCTGATAGCAGCTCCATTTTTCTGCTCCCAGCACTGCTCTGTCTATGCAGAGCATAGTGAGCTTTGGCAAGCCCAGTCCAAATAAACTCTAGTCAAGTAGAGAGTGGCAGGAGGTGGGCTGAGGATTTCAATTTTGCCCTTCAAGTAAAAGGCCAAGCCTGGAAGTCACGACAGACAACGGTTTGGGGGTACTTGCAGATTTCTATGACATTGCATTTCTATTCCACTGTTATTCCTCTTGTGAGGAAGCCAGTATGGGTTATACAGAACTCGTCCTGTCCATTTTAACCTCACAACAACAACAACCCTGTGAGGTGGTTGAAGTTGAGAGTGAGAGATTGGTGCAACGTCTCACCCAGGGAGCTTCATGGCCAAGTGGACTAGAACCTGGATATCAAAGGTCCCCTAGAATCCCTAGACTTCTCACTGCATGGCTGTCCCTAACAAGTTAGCCCATTATTGTGCAATTGCTCTCTTTCATTCATAGAATTTTAGTTATTTAGATTTACACCCTGCCTTGTTTCCTTCCAAATAACTCAAAGGGGCTTACATCATTTTCTTGTTTTCTCAAGTTTATTCCCACAACCATCCTGTCAAGTGGGTTGGGCTGAGAGTCTGTGAATGGGCCAAAGTCACCCAATTGGCCCCTTGGCTGAGTGGGGACTAGAAGCCAGATTGCCCAAGTCCCGGTCCTGCACTCCTGACCACCACGCCATGCTGGCGGTCTTACATATATAGTATATAATTATAATATATAGTATATCTCAATTAATATATCAATACTACAGGGGTCAGAGAATTTAGTATTCTATGTACAGCTCCCCTCTGTTTCCCCACTGCTTCTATCTCTTTTTTCTTTCCACAAAAATCCAGAAAGAATGAAGAGTTG